CTGCAGCAGAGCATTGTCCCGACAGCCGGTTCCTTGTCCCAGTAATTCCAGGTTGTTCTTGGTCCAGAGACATATCAAGATGGCAATCTCCCCACCTAGTGCACTGCTAGAGCCAACCTGTCTCCCACGAAGTACAGGGGAGGCCCAGGGCCGGCACAATTTCACACTCAGATGGCTCTGTCCAAGGCCTGTCACCATTGTGGCTAGTGATGCCGTCTGGTCTGAAACTGGCTCAAGGAAAAACTGTCCATGGGCCAAACTGAGGGCTGGACAGATGGTCATCACCCTCAAGCTCTGGCCCTTAATCCTTTGTACAGACAGTTGGGTGGTACTTTGTGGGCTAATTAGGAGGATTGACCATTAGCCTAAGGAGGAGTGGACGGTAATGGGCAAGGTGGGTGGGGAAAAGTCCTGAGACAAGACTCTGGGATCACCTCCAAACCTTGGACAATGATCTGTTTTCCATCGAGCAATCCACTTCTTTCTTCACAGGAAACCAAGAATCAGACACCGTACAAGTTAGAATGGTGCCGCTGGAAGGAGAAAAACAGACACCATAGTGGCCATGTCGGTTGAAAAATACCTGCAGAGCCACGGAAACCCTAATCTGTACCAAACTACACTTTGTGCTCACACCGACGCCCACGGCACCTGCCCCTGATTATGAACCCATACGTAAGGGAATGCAATCAGGAATGGACTGGCAGGTGGATTATATAGGGCCCTCGCTCTCTCCTGCCTCCACAAAGATTAAAGTATGCTCTTATGAGTATGAATGTAGTTACTAGCTTAACCCAAATAGTCCCACGTAAATGAGCAAATCAGACTGTTACAACAAAGGGATTACACAAAATTGAGTGTTATGGATGGGTTATGCTGCAGGATTGATAGTAACTAAGGTTCCCACTTCACAGGTCCCTTTGTGGACAAATAGGCAGCTGAGAAGGAGGGACAGTGACACTACCATGACTGTGGGCTTGGTGGAAAGAAGGAATGATGCTCTAAGACAATGGATATGCACCTTTCAGGCAAGGCTATCTTGGGAGGGTGGAATAAGGTGCCGTTTGAGGCTTTGATTTCGATAAATTTCACTACTAGTGTTTTAGGGCAGGGGGAAGATGGGACTTCTTATTCCTGTAGAGAGTTCGTTTCAGAAACTCACAGGGGGCAGCTCTATCCTTTGAAATAGTGTTGCTATGCGTTGGCATCTGCTTGATGGCAGTGAGTTTGGTTTCTGGTCTTGCGGAGACCTGTTTGATTCGACAACTACCATCCAAGTGACATCACAGCCCCTGGAAGTGTATCTGGCCAGGCTGTTTCCAGGAAAACTGCAGCAACATCTTCTGAACCTGGTGCCAGGAAGTGAAGCCGTCTTGTGGCGCTTGACGTGGGTCACCCCACCAGCGTGGAATGGATACTTGGTCTCTCTGGAAGTGGCTGAACTAACTGGCCGAACATGGGAACCCACCACCTGCATCATGGTGGGTCTTGGCAGTCTTGTTTAACCTGGACTGCATGGATGATGGCTATCACACGGGGGCTGGGGGTGGATACCCTTTCCTAGCATATAGAAGGATGGGTGATGTTCTTCACAATGTTTCAAATGACCTTCCTGGGGTAGCACATGTGGCGTGCATGGCCCAGGAGAATGCCCCAGGCAGCTGCTGTCTTCACCACTGGAAGGAGGGTCAGGAACTGGATTGTAATGGAAGGAGGAGAGTTACGCCTGTTGGTACCAACTAAACATCTGTCTTTCCAATTATGGGCATGGCCTGCTCTACTTTCTTCCCTTCAGAGCTGCCAAGGTCTTCCTCTTGTGGGTTCACAGTGCACCCCAAAAGCAGCGTCAGGGTCTGTGGACAGCTCTTCTGCCCAAGTGCTGAAGGCATACATTGGAACCTCTAGCTGGAACCAAATGACTAGCTGTGAGAAACACATGGGGGCATATTCAAATCTCTGTGACGAAATGGGGGACAAGAGGAAAGGGGGACATAAGCTTACCCTTTCCAGGATGCTGACTGTTGTAGAAACCTGGGTCTTGGTCACCACCTACTGATTGTGGCCGTGAGAAGATGTTTATCACCCCTGGGATGTCTTAGACTGGTTGGACCCTGACCAGGGTGTGCTGGGGAAATCCTTTTCTGTCTGCTTTGAGTTGAGCAAAACTCTGAGAGGTCCCTTGTCTCTCTGAAAGTGGGCCAGACTCCTGTATTCCCCTGCCAACAGGTGAAAGTGCCAGGTACAACTGATTGGTTATAATCCAAATACCTACACATGACTGTGAGAGCGGACCTTGCTCCTAAAGGCACCCCGTGGATGTATCACTGCTGCTTATGGCTTTGGTGATACCTTGTGGTTGTCCTGTGCTGCAGGGACCATTAAGGAATCTATACCAGAACCCTGGAATTACCCCCTTGGTAAAAGCCAGGTGACCCAAGCACAGTGTTTGTTCTCCACTGGTGTGATTACCTTTCTGACGGTTTTTGTTCTTCCGCTTGTTGCTTTTGATGATGCCATCGAGTCAGTTCTGACCCATAGTGACCTTAGACAGAACAAAGCAAAACACTCCCGGTCCCGTGCCATTCCACAGTTGTTCTGACTCGCGAGCCCATTGTCGCAGCCACTACGAGGTCTGGAGTCCTGGTGGGGAGCTACCTCTCCTCATCAGGGACATCAAAGTCTCTGCCTCCCACGGGAGGGCGCTGAGTCTGAAGTCAGCCCTGCTGCCGCTTAGGGATTACTTTGTAAGTAAGCTTCTTACCAAATCCTTTTACTGTCATCCAGAAGGTGCCCGGCCTTGTTCTTTGGTCTCTTGCCCCCACCCCCCACCCCTTTTTGGGATGCAAATGTGGAGTAACTGATCCATGTCTAGACAGGACCATGACCATGGAGGCAGAGATGACCACTGGTCAACACAAACCAAGGAAGGTTGGAAGCCACCTGAAATGAGGTGCCTTTTCTGTCTCCTCATTTGGGAATGATTTAGTTTAAATGCATTCAATTCTTTCTATAAAAAACTGAATTATAATGAACATATCATGCAATTCAATAGCTCAATCATATCAAGAAAGGTTGTACAATAATTGCCACAATCCATTTGGAACCTTTTCTTCCTTCTTGGGCTTATTGATGATGCTGACTCCCCATTTCCTCTGTTCCCCCTTTCTATGCCCCCAGGCAATCATCAATCCTGCTACTGTCTTTATAATTCCACCCATTCCAGTTTTCTCATATAGAAAAATAATACAAAACAAGCACAAATAACAAACAAGGACCCACCACGATGACCATATACCTCAGGTAAAGACCTCAGAAAACAGAATGTTAAAATTTCAGAATAAATGCACATTGGGGCCAGAGGGAGATCTAATTATATGGTGTCGCGTTCCAGGCTAAGCACAGCTGCTAAAACCCACTTTCCAGTGTTTTCATCTGGTATGTGTATTGGGGACTCACCTGGGACTCAATCCATGTAAGGACCGTGAAAATGTATTTTGGGCGACCGCTACCATCTATATCTTTATACAACATTTCTACCTAAATTCTAAATGGCTTTGAACTTAGGTACTAGTTCCATTTCCTCCTCCAGGTTTGGATCTTATTTGCAATCTTTGGCTCACATGGGCTGGCGTGATTCTTCCTTGTGAACTTAGCTGACTCCTCCCTTGGAGGGTTGCTTGTTTTGTTAAAAGACCCCTTGTTTTGTTAGACCCCAGAAGCTATTTTTCATCATAGTCAGGCACCCAATAGCAGAGGATTTTGTTTATTTATTAACTCCCCTGAACAGCTACATCGACCGGCTCCAGCTACCAGGAGCTGTGCCGCATCTAGTTCTACACTGAGGGTCCTGGCTAGCTGAGGTGCACGGTTTCCTCTTTCTTTTTAACTTTTTATTAATTCAATTTGTTTCTTTATTAATCCTTTTAACTTTTCATTATAAATTAGGTGAAGGTTTGTCGAGCAAACCAGCTCTTCAACAATGCAGACTCATTTTGTTTCATGCCATTGATTGTATTCCCACAAAGTAACACTGTTAGATCTCTCTGGAGCTAGATTTATACCTCGGTCCTTGGCTCTGCGCGAGAAAGAATTCACGCCGAAGCCTGGTTCGTGATCCTGGTTCGTGATCGAAGTGAGTTTTGTGAGAATTAGAAGAAGTTTCAGGTTTACATGGCACCCAAGGGGCTCCTCCCGGACATGCGGCCTGGTTGGAAGCTGCTCGGCTTCATGCAAAGCGTCCCAAAGTTCCCTGCGCCTAAGTTCTCCTCTCTCTTCCCGCCAAAGTTCTCTCTCTCCAAAGTTCTCTCCGTTTTAAGGATTCCACAGGGAGGCGTGGTGGACGACCCCTGATCAACCCCATTGGCTGAATTGAATTTACCTGACATGGTGAGCCAATTCAGGTTTACGCCCACCCCTGCCTACCGGCGGGAACCCTGAGCATGTGCAGTGTGCCACTCCTTTGTTCCCCTAGCTTGGCCCTCTGGACACGTGTTAACGGACATCCCCCAGTCCTATGCTGGCCTACCTAACAACACCACTTATCCCACGTTCGCTCTGGGTTGCCTGTTTTCATTCCCCATTTCATTCATGCCTAACCCTTCTGACCTTTGTGCATAAAGGCTGCCCTCTTGGTCTCAAATGTTTGATTATTTGAAGGAGTGCATACGACCCCAGGGTTACTGTTCCCCTTGAAGATCTGTCCACTGCTTGGCTGACATGTGAGCCATAGGGTGAGTCAAATTCCAGGCCGGGAGACTGATGAGGGCCCCTGTTCTTGTAGATCCATCTGACTTTTCCTGCCCCGTGTGGATCCCCCACAAGGAGATGACTGAAGTTACCTCAATTTCCTTTGATTCCCATAATTAGTTCAACTCACTCTGGTTCTTATCAGCAAAAGAGTGCCATGAACACAGCCCTCAAAGAGCAAGTGAGACAAAATCACAGAAACAGAATTCGCCTCAGGCCATTCTGACTACCATTCCCTGATAAAAATCTCCCTCTATTGTGCTTTATTTTATTTCGTGAAAATTAGTCTCACTCTAACACAGAATGAAAGCCATAGGCCGCACCTATAAAGCCAATCCCTTTAGCAAAAGGAGATCCTAATCACTTAGAAAGGCACTGCTGCATCTCTTCGGATTATTGCTTTTGCCTCTTGTTTCTGATGAACATGGTTCCAATGAGGCCCAAGGCTGCGAAGCCCACGCTTGCAACGCCAAGTTTAACGGCTGCCTCTCTGACCTGCAAGAAAAAGAGAGGGGCTCAGACTATCTGTCAGGAAATGAGCACAGGCTGTCCATATCGCCGAAACCTATTACTCCAGGCTAGGGACTTGATTCCAACTCACAATGGCTCTACAGGACAGAGTACGACTGCCCCATATGGTTTTCCAAGTCTGTACTCTTGACCGAAGCGGGCTGCCACATCTTTTCTCTGCACAACAGTTATGGGTTCAAACCTCTGGCCTTTTGGGTTGGTAGCTGAGCCCTTAATCACTGTACCACCAGGGATCCTTGCACACTCAACAGAGACATTAGGTTTAGGTCATCTCCCATGTCCCTTAGCTTGCTTGCCAAGGTACACTGGCTAGTCTGCAAATGTTGTCAGAGTGGCACGAGGAGAAGGCTAGATGGGGGAAAAATCAGCAGGTGGAGCCAGCTGGCATGGAATTCTTATGAACTGAAGTGGATGGTACTTTACTGACCTGGAGGTATTTGAAACCCATGAATCCCCCACAGAATGGCTATATAACGGCAAAGGGGGCAGTCCAGGATGGCCAATTGAGAACTCTTGAAGTCAGTGTGAAGTAGAGGGGAATTGGAGAGATGAAGACGCAATGAATTGTGACCTCCAGGAGAGTAAGGACCTCCTCGGTCTTGGCTGTCACCGTGGTTAGTCCTTCCAGGCACAGAGGTGCACTTGACCTCTTCTCAGGAAAGTGACTCGGCAATGGACAGTGGTGAAGCACTTACAATTATTAGGAGCCCCGGTGGGGTAGTGGTTAGGCGTTGGGCTGCTAACTGTTTGAAATCATCACAGAAGAAAGACCAGGATTTCCACTCCCATAAAGTTAGTCTCAGAAACTCCCTGGTAGAGTTCTGTCCTAGAGAGTCACCATGAGTTGTAATCGACTCAACGGCAGTGAGTTTAAAAGGAATTTTTGTCTTTGTATTTTGGCATAGGACAGTGGCTTAATTCACACTCTTAAAAAATAAAACAAAATGTTTATGTTGCATTACAGAGCATATCATACATTTTACATTCACTCTAGAACCAGGCAGTGTTTTTTTGTTCTGTTGTAAGTCAGGTCATAATGAACAGGGGCCAATGTGACATACCTAACAACAGTGAGTAAGAAGACACCTCTGCAAAGGTGTATCAGGTGGATTTTAGGTAGCTCTAAAGTAGAAGTTTGAAAAAGCATACCCCTGGACATCTGAAATGCAAATCACATTTTAAATGACATCTACTTCCCTTTCTTACTAGGAAGTTAGATGATTCACGAGTATTCGAGTGGAGAGAGAACTACGCTATTGTTTTCAAGAAGCTAGCCAAAATTAAAAGGAGGAGTGACAAGACTCTTTAAAATGAACTAACTGTCCTCAGGAGTTAAACAACAAAGAGAATGGCTGCTTTGAAAGTTCTTACAAAGAACACTTCCACTGGACACATGCTAAGTTCTACTAACTTCACCACCTTGAATGAGATGGGACATATGGAGAAGTCCTATTTCAATCAGGCTCACAGTGTGTGTTATGATCATAATGTAGGCCATGGTTTTCAACCACGTAGGGTTTTTCCCTTTGGGGTAAATTTGTCAATGCCTAGAGACATCTTCTCAAGTCTAGAGACATCTAGACTGTACACATGGACCTCGCCATTTAAAATACAGAGAAATCAAATATGCAGGACGAGGCCACGAGGAAATAATATTAGCAGCCAAAATGAGTCCAAGGGCTGACTGTGGAACAGACCATCAGTTGCTCGTATGTACGGTCTGGCACAAGTTGAAGAAGATTCAAACAAGTCCATGAGAGCCAAAATATGACCTTGAGTCTATCCCATCTGAATTTTGAGACCATCTCAAGAACTGATTGAGCAGATAGAGCACTAATGACAATCGGATGCCATGGGCTGTGGGATGCCATCAAGAGCACCCCATGAAGAAAGCAAATGGTCATTAAAAAGACCAGGGAGAAAGAAGAGAGCAAAGGGGAGGTCAGAAGAGACTCTGAAATGTGGAGTCGCTCAAGCAAAGGGAAGAAAGGATGAAGTAAAAGAGCTGAACAGAAAATTTCAAAAGGACAGCTCAAGAAGACAAAGGAAAGTATTCTAATGAAATGTGTGAAGACCTGGCGGTACCAAGCCCAAAAGGAAGAACACGCTCAGTATAAATAAAGCTGAAGGAACTGAAGAAAAAATTCAAGCCTTCAGTTGCTATATCGAAAGATTCTATGGGCAAATTACAGATTGTGCGGTGCAGGAAAGAAGATGAAAGAACTACACAGAGTCAGTGTATCAAAAAGAACTCTTCAACCATTTCAAGAGATAGTATATGACCAAGTATCAATAGTACTGAAGAATACGTCCAAGCTGCACTGAAGGCATTAGCCAAAAACAAGACTCCAAGAACCGATGGAATACCAACTGAAATGTTTCAATAAGCCGATGAAGTACTGGAAGCACTCACCCACCTATGCCAAGCAATTTGGAAGATGACTCCCTGGATAACTGATTGGAAGAGATCCATATTTGTGCCTATTTCAAAGACAAGTGAGCCAAGAGAATGAGGAAGAAGTAACAAGGTTACCTGTCTCTGTTGGTATCATGGCCCTTGTTGCCCCACTCAGGGATGCAGATGGTCCCCACAAGGAAAGGGAGAAGAGAAAAGAGCTCAGGATGAAGAGAGAAACCCAGGAGAGGTCGCCATTCATGGAGATATGAGATCAGGGACATTCCACCCCTACTATTCGGGCCTTGTCCATTCCACTCTCTCTACCTTGGCCCAGCCCATAACAGAGGCCCAGGCACTGAGAGCTGGGGGAAGGTCTGGTTCCTGTAGATGGGGACACAGGCTGAGGACCCACCTGGTCACTGCGGGGGATTCCGTAGCGCAGCTCATTCACAAAGTGCTCGCAGTTCTCGCTGGTCAGCTTGTAGAGCACCTCCTGGCCCACCAGTTCCTCGGCCCGCTGGATGATCTTGCTGGGAGGTAGTGGTGGGTACTTGTCATCGTGCTTGTTATTGACCCGGTACCTGTCCCTCCCGGCCACAACGCGCAGTAGTTCCTTCTTCACGATGGCCTTATCCGCCAGGGCAGACATGATACTGGCGGCACCAGCTCCTGCGATCTCACCTGTGGACCCACAAAGAGGAAACAGAGCGATTGGTCCCTGGCTGCAGGACTGAGCTGACCCAGCACCATCCACAAGGAGGTGAGTAAGATGTAGAAAGGCCAAGGGAAAGGGATAAGGCCCATGGCTGGGCGATTTCGGAAAAGGTGTTTGTAATCTCTGGGCCCTGGTTTCCTAATCTGAAATGCGCAGTGTGGAGCCCCACGGCGGGTGTTGTGATTATGTTCATAACCCAGAGAAGCTGACCTTCGACTGCCTGTGATGCTTGAGTAGCCCTCTGGATCTATGCCAAGTGTGTATATTCAAAATTCCGAGGGAACAGATCGGACCCTCTCCTGATTCTGTCAAGGCTACAGCTCATTGACAGGCACACCATGATTCCTGCAGAGAGGGCGGATGGGAACACACAAAGGATTCGCCACCCTTCTGGAAGCAAAGGGATCCAACCTCACAGCTGCTGGCTGCGAAAGGACATGTGTGAGCCCAGGAGGAACGAGGGCCCAGCCCCACCTGGGAGAGCAACAGAGCTCCAGAAGTGAAATCACCTTGATCTAAGGGAATCGGGCTTCTAAGGAAGACAGGACGGCTGTGAGGGGGAGCTGATGCCTGCACAGAGTCAAGGCACCCTCTTGACCCGGCCAACCTGGTACAGTGAGAGAAGGAAAGCATGCTTTGGACTGGGAAGTTGGCTGTGAATTCAAGAGGGGCACCCCTGGAGCCCTGGCTTAGATATCAGGAGAGGACGCTCATTCTTATCCAATGAACAGCAGTGAGTGTACCTGTTGACTCGGGCAGAACCAAGCTTCAGCTGCGGCACCATGTGGCAGCAGCAAGCAGTGGCAGGAGGGACGGAGCAGACGCTAGGACCTGCTGCGCTTGGCCTTCCAAAGAGGGTGGGCCCCCTTTGCCCTGGGTAGAATTCTAAGACTTTGGAAAATCTAGCAGAGTCAGACTTGTTACAAAGAGGCCAGGCAGTACATGAGAAATTAATTGAGAAAAATAAAAGAGATGATGTGGCGGGGTTTGAGCTCGGGGCTTGTGGACGGAATCAGTGTGGGTACCCAGAGAATGGGACCATGTGAGATCTGCAAAGGAGGCCCCATGAGGTTCAAACTCCATGTAGGCCCAGGTGGCAGAGCATGGACAAGGAGGGACCCACACCTGAGAAGGAGGGTCTTCTTAAATCGTGTACCTTGGTGCCATGCTAGTGAGTGGCACAGGGGTACACACGCAAAAGGTCAGAAACTCCTGGTTCTGATTCTGCCCAAGGGCTCTTGACCTGTGAGTTAGTTAATTGTGCCAGCCTGGCCGATAATAACATGTGGGGCTAATTGAAAGGAGGAGG